TGATGACAAAGAAAATGTCCATAGCCAGTTCAAACCTTCCTATTTAACCTATTTTAAATTATCATTTTAAAGACTTAGCTAATTGAAACTTACACATATTGGCAGCTACTTAGAAAAAGTATATATCTTCTAGATAGAAATAATTACTGAAGCCAGTCTCTCTGTATTATTCTCTATATGATAATATATATTTGAAAAAAAAATGATTCCATTTGTTACCTCAAATGTTCTCAAATTGATGAAATTTACTCATTCTGAATTGAAGGTTTTTTAAAAGAATTTTTTAAACTCAATTTAGTTGTAGCACAAATTGACAAATTGTCAGTAACTGTCTCTAAACCAAATGTAATAAAGAGTGCTCTCCCTTTTTTCTACAATAAAGCTCATATCTGATTGATAAATCAGTGGCAAAAAGCAAATAATTCAATCTCTATCCCATAGACCTGAGTAAAATATACAAACAGTAAGTATGACAGTTTTGATAAATAAATCACCTAACTTGATCTCAACTGGTGTAGGAACTGCACAGGACAAGTAGCAAATATCCTTGTGTATAAAGCACGCAAGCTTGCTTTGTAAAGGTTGGGTTGAGTTATTTCTTTCTACTGTAATACTTCTAAGTTCGAAAATATAAGTAAAACATCTTAACTCCTAATTATAAGTCCTACTACACTTAACTATATCAAACACATTCTAATAAGTAGAAAATGTCATAATTGTTAAATGCTCAAAGGTGAATATATTATTTTCTTTCTTAAAATCAATATATTCCCAAAGTTATTTCAACAGACCTTGTCTCAATGGCTTAAACATTCTAACCTTACTTTGCAAAACTGCTCATTCATATAATTAACTCTAAAATACTTATTTAAAAAGCATTGAAAATGAAATACATTTTCCATTAATCATTTTTCATAATTCATTAATACCAAGCATTTACTGTAACTTTGAAACATTTTTCCAACTTAGAAACCAAGTACTTTTCAAACTTTGAATTCTAAGGTATTCTGGGAATAATATGCTAGTTACTTAAATAGTACTTCATAAGCACTCTGACATTTTCACATTTTGCAAAGGTTTACTTACTGAAACATCTTTCAGGATTTTCTCAAAGGAGAAATGACAAGACTCTTTAGAAAAATTAAACTTGTATGCATCAGCCGGTCCTGCTCCTGACACCAATGCTTTGCTCAGCTCATCAACATATTTCTCTTTTTCCATTGCCATGTCATCAGCTTCTTGGGAAATCGCTGATTCACAAACTATGGGAAACATTAATAAAAAGTTTTGAAGTGAAAAATAAATTTCTAAACATATAAGCATATATACCTGTTGCTACTAATCTATCACTTATATAACAGAAATTTAAACAAAAAGGTCAAACCCCACACCATAAATTTTTAAGTCAAATTATACCTTTTAACTGAATTAGCAATTTTTCAGAAAATGCATTAATTTAGTGTCATCTTACCTAAAAATTATTAGACTCCTTGCATTTTTTCTCTATTCTCAGATGAAATACATGCATTGTAAATGACCACAGAAACTACCATCTTATGTATCTGCTCCTAGGCCACAAAGCTAAATTATTTCCTATAATCATTAATAAGCTCAGTATTTTACTACATCTTTCTTCCTTGCCTCCATTATTAAAGAGATTAAATAGTGTATCGTCTATTTCTCACTCATACGGGCAAAGTCAAATCAAAGTAAAAGTGGAGCTCATTCGTCTCATCTCATTATTTGCTGACAATAGAAATGGGGGTGCGGAGGCAATAAAAGGAGGTGATGAGGAAGGAAAGGGAAGGGAACTAATATTTATTTAGTGTCCCCTCTCCGGCATACACACTATACTACATCTGGTTTCCAGTTCTCTCACCTAGGTATATTTCAAGCTGATTTTTTATTCGTACTCCTTCATAAAGATATTTACTTCAATAATCATATGTTCAATTTTAGATACTTCTTTTTCATCATACCCTGTTCTTGCCCCACAATCCTTATAAAAATTTGAATCTAATAATCATATTTAAAATTTCTTTCAGATCGGTCTTTATGTGTGGTTCCTGGGTATTTACGTGTGGTTTCTCCTATCTGCTGACACATTCCTGTTCTGCTTTTTTCCTTTTATGCTTTATAATGCTTCAGCATGGCTCTCCTCCAGCCAAATTATCAAGAGCTCTGGGCACCAGAGGTGGTCTTAAATGAAGGCTGCTGGTTTGCCCTTCATGGAGTCCCTACAGGTTTCACCATTCTGGACCGATCTTGAAAATTAATTTCTTAACTTGGTTTTTACACTTGAGGCAAAGAATTTAAATTTAAAATTCCCACCTAAACATGACAGAGGCTTAGGGTTCTGATTTTTGTTCAGAACATTTATTCACTCATAGCCTTTATTAATTGGTCTGATTCTAATGATGATTTCATTCACAAGATAACACTTCTAGGTTCCTTTCTTTATATTAAGAGATCAGTCCCAATTCCTTAAGAAGCCTACAGTCTTAACATCATACCCCACTCAGGTATTACAATCACAATCATTTAGACATATATGTAGTTCAGATATTCCATGAACCTATAGTTAAGTTGTAGTTCCCATTAACCAATTTGGTTTCCAGGTATCTCTTCATACCTGGAATTTTCTCTTTCTTACATTCAAAAGCTATGATGTGTCTGTTTGCTTTTCAATTTAGAAGATTTAATCTACATTTGTTTGGAATATGAGTGTGACTGGGTGGTTTCCTGTGTCAACTCAGGCTACCACTAAGATGAAAGACCATACGGTTCCATACTTTTATATTTAACGGTTACATTTACCTATTTCATTCCTCATAACACTGAAAAATAGACATTATTTTCATTTTACACATGAGAAAATCGAAGCTCAGAGAGGTCAAGTAGTTATCTAGGGCCATGGAGTCAGTAAGTGGTGAAGTTGGGATTCATATTTATGTCTCTCTAGTTGTTTTGTTTTGAGGTGAGGCAAAGATATGGAAGACCGGATAAATTATTCCCTTCCATGATATTAAAAAACACATCAGTGTGAAATACTACAGAAAATAATGAAATCTTAATTAAAGAATCCCTAAAACTATAGGACAGCTTTTCATAACTTTGGTTTGGTGCAATGAAGTGTCTGGAAGCCCTACGACAGGCATTGAGGAAGAGAGTCTTGGAATGTATCCATATATATTTCATGATCAATTTTTGATAATGAGTCTGATATTGAAATGAATCTCAACACAGCTTTTAAAAACAGGTAAGAATAAAATGTCTTATATTTTTATGTGAATTTTATAGCTTCTAAAATACTTCTACATATTTTTTCTCTCTCTGAAGCAGATGCATATTTAAGATGATTATTACTATCAAATCTCTTAACTTTCCAAATACCCAATTAGCTCTTCTGAAAAAATATAAAAATAAGAAGCCAAATGCTTCCCATTTGAGGAATAATTTCATATTTTGTGTTTCGATAAGTTACAGATACCTGA